GATGGGTTGCGGCCAGAAGGGCATCCGCTGTGTAAAAACGTGCTGAATAAGTTGGCGGTTCATTCCTCTGTGGCGACCCTGGATTAATAAAAGGACTAAGCTGAAAAGAAAATGACTGAATGAATGAATATATATTACGAGCGTAAACATTAGGTGAGCACACGTGACACACTACATGATGAGATTTGCAGCGATACACAATGGGGCTGTTTGCACCAGACGAAACGCGACAGAAATGAAAATCCAGGCATTCAGAAGCACAGAATAGTGCACTCACTGCACTCCAGCACAATGCTGAGGTTTATAATCTAATTAATATATATTAAAAGCGACAGGTTTACTCACTTTATCAAGTAAAGTCAATTAATCGCTGGGTGTCACAGTGGCTCAGTGCGTAGCACGATCGCCTCACAGCAAACAAGGTCGCTAGTTCGAGGCCCGGCTGTGTCAATGGTCATTTCTGTGTGGAGTTTGCATGTTCTCCCCATGTTGGCGTGGGTTTCCTCAGGGTGCTCCGGTTTCCCCTCAGTCCAAACATGTGCACTATAGGGGAATTGAATAGGCTAAATTGGCCATAGCGTATGTGTGTGAATGAATGTGTATGGGTGTTTCCCAGTGTTGGGTTGCAGCTGGAAAAGTTGCCGGCTCATTCTGCTGTGGCGTCCCCTGATTAATGAATGGACTAAGCCAAAAAGAAAATGAATGAATGAACGAACTAATCGCTTTAAAAGCAACAGGTTTATGCACTTTATTAAGTAAAGTCAACGAATTGATTTTCGGCGTATGCTTATCCACAACTGAAATACTATAGGCAGACGTTCTATCCCATAATTTACCTTTACTCTGACGTTTAAATCAATTTTTGAAGAGCGCATGACAAAACACAGTAAAGTTTGATTGGACACACCACACGTCACCACATCAGATGTAAATGGACACTTGTTATTATTTAACAGCCGGATTTTACTCTGAGTTTTTGCATTAGCAGTGGTTTTTCCCTGCGGTCGGTGACCTGAGATCCACTGAGCTGAAGCACATCACGGTCTGTTCATTTGTCATGTGTCATTTGTCAAGATGATGAATGGACTGGATATGACAGGACGGCCATTTCTGAATTTATTTCCCCGGTCACTGGAACAGACTTTAATTGAATCAGGTTTCTAATTATGGAAGTTTCCAGAGATATCATTCATGCAATAGATGGAAGCAGACATGGAGAGGATGGGATTTTTATCACTGAAGTACAAGTATGTGACTCATTCTAGATGTACATTTAATGCACTTTCCATTCATTTTTTGACAAATGTATAATTTATAGTAGACTGAGTTCATCATTAATAATGCAAAATTAATAAATTTGATAGGAAACATATGATTCTGTTAATAATCTCTTTACAGACTGTTCTGCCTTTTTATTATCAACGTTACAGAGTTGACTAGAATGCAGAGACAACTGTTTTTTATAACTGTAATGACAAATAATACAGAAAAAAAGATGAAAATTAGACTTCATTATTTGAGGATAATTGAAGCTGAATGTAAGATTCAGCTAATACAGTTAATAGAGTCCTTAAGTCAATATTTTAATACAAAATGTCCCTAAATGCACCTATAAACATTACATTTAGCGATAACTTGATTTAATTAGTGTTATTATTCAAAGCTGCTTCATTAAAGCTTTTGAAAAATAATAGGTTTGAGGCAACACGGTGGCTCAGTGGTCAGCACTGTGGCCTCACAACAAGAAGGTCGCTAGTTTGAGTGCCGGCTGGGTCAGCTGTGTCTGTGTGGAGTTTGCATGTTCTCCTCCTGTTGGCGTGGGTTTCCTCCAGGTGCTCCAGAGAATCTGTCTGAAACAACAACTGCACCGAAAGCATCTTTGTTAACACACCTTCCAGAGCTTCAGTCGCGATGAGCTGACTGATAAATAATTCAGCTCTTCAAGCCACAACTCAACATTAATAGCTGATTAGTTATGAAAAGTGCAGAAACTGAACAGATCCTGTCATGAGTGCAAATCGCTGCTGCGCCGTCTCACAGGATTATGGAGGCTGATTACAGGCTCACGTCTCGCAGACTGAAATATTCCCCATTACAGGACTTGAAAATCTATGCATGCCTCATTTAGAGCGGAAATATGTTTACAGTATGAGAAGTAGCCTCAAATACAGACAGAGAGCATTCAGAAAAACAAAACTGAGCTTATATTATTCAATAATATGTGACCCTGGTCCAAGAAAAGCAATAGTTCACCCAAAAAAAGTGAAAATTAGCCCATTATTTCCTCTCACCCTCGAGCCATCCTGTCTTTTTTTCACAATGGGAATAGTTTTATGCTGGGTCTTCATGCTGTATAATCATGTTGGAGAGTTGCTTTTATTTTGAAGCTTCCATAAACTAAATGCCATGGGTTAATGCATGCCTTATGAAGCAGATCCATGTGTTTTCAACAAAACCATTTCAACCTTTTTAATTATAAACTCATATCACTGACATCTGACAAAGGCTGAATGCATGTTATGCACCTCTGAAATATGCATTTTAAATGAGTTTTGTTTTGTCCAAGTGTGTAGTTCTTGATCAAAATATACCGGGCTTTAGGCTGGACTTTACGTCTAAAGTATATATATACATAAAGTCAACTGTTATGTGCAACTAATATATTACTGACATTAATCTATACACTATGCGTGTCTTTGTCATGATCACCAGCGATCTAAACACTATTGCTGGAAGACACTCATATTGCTTACGGACTACAAATCCGCCATGTTATGGACTACATTTCACACATGCACTCCGCTCGCACACACATGTTCCTCATTCTGACTGATTACACACGCACCACCGGAGGATTGTCAAGAGCTGATTACACACACTTTTAAGCAACACACACTCACTCCAGTCGCCGAGTCTTGTTTACTTAGAGTTACTATACAATGCATATTCCTTGTCTTGTTATTCCCGTGTTTTGACCCTTTGTCTTTTTGTCCCTGTCTGCAGCCTGCCTTCCGACTTCTTGCCTGTTATTGTACTATGATTCTGGATTGCCTTCACACATCTGTTTGCACCAAGCGGCAACCTCCCGCTCTCCCTCAGGAAGCCAATACGGAAGTAACTAAAACTGCAATTCATCCGAAATTCCGCTGGTCCTGGACGCTCCTGGCTCCAAAATAGAGCAAATTTCAATTGAGCCCACTGTTAGAATGGTCAACTTTACAGCAGAAAAAAAGGTGTTTACAGCCTGCTACAAAAACAGATTTTGGTGCATACAGCTAATATTACCCTTCATGACAACTGTGAGGGGGTGAATTTTATTATAACTCATGGGTTTCCTTTAAATTATATTAGGTTTGTAAAATTAAGGGCGTGGCCACTTGATTGACAGCTAGGTCTCGTTGGTCGCCGTCACGTCACCTCAGCTGACTCCTGCAGATTAGCCACTGAACTCTGCATATTTATCGTATGACGATAAAAAACACTTCATCACTTGATGTCTTCAGTCCCTGAACGTCTTTAAGTGTTGTGAAAGAGAACGGCCACATTACAATAGGTGCTAAATGCTTTACTATTGCAACTTTTTTGTAAGGTGTTGCAAAAACCAAAATTGGGATCAGTGATTAATTTTGAAAATTAATTTAGAAATGAACACTTTCGTTTTAATTTGCACTTTTCATACTGTCCCAACATTTTTCTGATTTGGGGTTGTAGATAAAAAGTCAACTAATCACCTTAAAAGCAACTTGTTTACTCATTATTTTGAAGTCAACCAAATCGCAGGTTCACTCCTTCTTAAGTAAAGTCAAATAATCCCTTTTTACTGTGCAGAAAAAACTTCCATAAGCTGTTATTTTACAACTTTTAGATGTCACCTATCTGTTTATTGATACTGTGCTAAGCTACACTGCAGGTGATAACATGGGCTGCGTCCGAAATCACATACTTCCACACTATTTAGTACGCTGCATACAGTATGCGAGCCGAGTAGTATGTACGAATTCATAGAATTTAAAAATTTGAAACCTTACTACGTCCCGCGAGATTCTGAAGTACGCATCGAATAGACCAGCGGTTCCCAAACTTTTCAGCACGCGACCCCTAAAATAACAATGCCAGTGACTCGCGACCCCCAATATCCTCTGAGGTGGTTATAAATACAGAAAACTTGCATGCAATGGCGCACACACACACCAATAGACCAAAGTCTATTCTTCGTTTAATTTTTTTTTATGTATTTCAGTGCTGTAAATGGGCCAGAAAGTTTAACCTGGTGTTATAAAATCAATCTGCTGCATCTGACGCTCATGCTGTCTTTAATATAATGTATTTACCCCAGGGGTCGCAATTCAATAGAACAAGTAAATAAGCTACTATAGTAACTATAAATGGCTGTTTTTTTCTCTTCAGTTGGTTATGGATAAAATATGGTAATTCTTATGGTCTAATAATAATAATAATAATAAGTAGATTTTTGGAAATCACCAGGCGACCCCCCCTTCATTGTTCCGCGACCCCTCAAGGGGTCCCGACCCCCACTTTGAGAACCACTGGAATAGACAATATGCTATCCCATGATGCCCCACGAGAGAATTCATGAATGGGAGTAAAGCAAAGCAACTCGCCCAGGTGGGTCACATGATCATGACAAAATGATGAATGTAGTATGTTCGAGTTCCATTCATGCTGCTCACATTCATGCTGTGTAATGTACTTTTCTAACGGCTGAGCGGTATGATTAAATTCACAAGCAGTTCCTACTCAGTGTAGGTGGTTTCGGATGCAGCTATGGGTTTCTCACCACAGCAATTACTATACAGTATATTTTGTATTGACCCATAAGCATCCAGAATCAAACATGTTTTCATACCTGATAAAACATCCAGCCAAACACTTGACTGACACCTCAGCATTTAGCATGTCAATCAATGGAAGTGTCATCAGATTAGCCATTATTTTCTGATGACAGGGCAGTTTTTACATACACAGGTTTCTGGTCTTACCCGGTGGTCTGATGCCAGGCGGTGGTGTTGTTGGTGGAGGCTGCGTTTTCTTCTGGTTTTAGGCATTTCCAGTGGGTAGAAATGAAAAAGATCCTCGCCGAATGGAAGCTGAAAATAAACACAGCTCTATTAGGACGACTGCAGAGAGGAATGAACATGTAGATGTGCTCACTCATGCCCAAGT